TGGACTGTGTGAAGGTAGAACCCCGGAGAGAAATAAGAATAAGATCACAAAGGCAGAAATGATGCTAGGGAGAGGGAAAAGCAATTGTCCCCTCTACTTGGGCAGTTGGGTAGGTGGCAGAGCCATTGCTGAGATAGGAAGTGCGGGAGAAACAGGATTTTGGTAGGGAGAAATGATTTGAAGTAAAACAGTGCATTTGGGATAGTTACCTAAGACTTTGCAGTGAGCCTAGAACTCACGAGACACCTGGGCTGGACATACAGATGTGGGCTCTTCAGCACACGGCAGGCAGTAGATGAAGCAGTGGGCGTGAATACAAGTGCAGGTGGTATCAAGAGAGGCGGCTGGAGCTAGAGCTCTAGGATGCTTCAATGTGAAGTAGTGAAAAGAAGCCAGTTATGTCACGGCAGTAAGAAGACAGGACAGGACTATCATTCAAGCCTTAATCAAGCAACAACTTCTCATGTGTGGTGGTACAACACAGATGAATCTAGAAGTGAAACGAGCCTGGAGCACGCTCTTTTTCCCTTTCTCCCTCCTCCCCCCACCCCCATACACACCATGGGATTTCGCTCAAATGAGGTACCTACACTGGGCCATATTCATCATATTCTGGGAGATATAGGGACCTGCTGCTTAATGGGCATAGTTTGTTTGGAAGAATGAAAAGTTCTGAGGAATCGGTTGTAAAACGACATGCATAGACTTTACTCACAGTGGTTAAGGTAGTATGTTTTGTGTGCATTTTTGCAAAATAAAGTGTTTTACAAGTGGTGGGAGCAAACTAGGAGCCAGGTTATTAATGCCAGAGCGCTACACTAGTAGAAGGACTTGCCCAATGTCCAATGTAGCAGAGCGACCCTTTGATTGCACTGAGCAATGAGACGGGACTCCTGCTAAAACTAGATTTCAACGTCTCAAGATACTGAGCTACTCTGGGCAGCTTAGGAGTCCTGAGGACTGATAATGAAGGGTCCTGAAATTGTCTTTATGTGCTCCGCCTTAGGATCATGGATGTCTACAGGTCCTAGGAAGGTAGCTCTGAGTCTGAGGACTGGTTGCCTCCCCTAATGCAGTGGCACAGGGGACCCTGAACTACTTCTATGCCTACAAAGGCCTGGTTACGCCAGTGGGCGGTATTCAGACAGCATGAAACTTATCTCATGCACTGGGCATTTTAAGTGCCATGAAATTTTATTTGACATTCTCCATAGCTATGTAAGATAGCTCCTCTTAAAAGATCAGAAGGGCCTGACTCTGGGGTGGTGAGAAACACCACCAGGGGGCAGCAGGAAGTATGCCTTCACTATTTTTTCATCGTAATCCTTTCCTTCCTTCCTTCATTCTAGCTAGAGAGAAGTCAAGAAATGTCCTTTCTCTAAATTATTTCCTCTGGCAAACTGAACCATGAATGGGGAATTAAGAAAGTATGAAGGCAATCAGAACATTTCTTTTATCTCTAGTCCCTTACCAATCCAAAATACTTTTTGTACATAAAAAAAAATAAGATAAAGAAAATTTCCTACAAGGTGACCTTCAATCACCTTAATTCTCCTAAAAAATTCTTGACCTCCCATCAAAGTTCAATCTGTCCCTCACAGACCACAGACCAAGTCTGCTCAGATGAGGATTTGGGGACTTGGTTTTTCCCTTCCATTTTCCTCTTCCTCTCCTCTCCTCTCTCCCAGCAGAAAATCGATAGTTTAATGAAGTGATATAAACTCAACTGCCTGCTCAGGCTGTTCCATTAACCTTTGGCAAAAGGTTAAGAGAAAAATATCACCTCCCGGCAAACCAAGGCTTCTCTAAGGCCCTGGCTCTGGAGTCTCAGCTCCCAGGATTTGCCTCCAAGGCCCGAGCAGTGCTGTGCAGCTGTCCCAGCACCGGTGCAGGCTGCCCTCCCTTCTTGTTGTCCCTCGTCCACTGAGTAGATTCCACATTTCTAGAATCAGTTCTGCTGTGAAGTTCGTCAGGGCCCTTTCCTTCCTACCAAATCTCCTCAGTAAACACCTTTCTCCCTGGCTGCCGAAACTATATAGTCCCTCATCCCCACCCCACCGAGGGCTTCTTCTTCTTTTTTTTTAAATAGTTCCAATTAAACAGCCATAGATGTTTCAAAGTTTATATGGTAAATTATTATTTACACAGTATGGGACTTATGGCATCAACCATTCCTGGCAGTTCCTTCACTTTTCACAGTAGGATGTGGTGGCCATGATTACTTTCCCACGTGGCAGGGAGGGAAGCAGAGAGAGGTTAAGGGTCTGTCCACAGGCACGCAACATTGTGGTGCAGTAGTTTGAATCCAAGGCAGCAAGATGTACATGTGCTCTTGACGACTGCCCCTGCATCTCTGTGCAGGCCAGACCCACCCTGTCCCTCTCAAAGCTGGCTTCCTGGCTTTTTAATGGGAAAACAATGTATCATTCTTGGAATGCCTCTTTTATTTTTCTATTACCTCACACACTTGGCCCTCTTGGTTCAAATTTGTAACTAAGTTTCTAACTTTTTTTTTTTTTTAACTAGAATGAATAAAATTCACTTCAAGAGTTTAGCCCAAACTGTTGCCTCATTCTTGGTATTGCATTTCTTTTCTCATTTTGTCAAAACTTACTTGGGTTACATCTTCAATATTTTATTAACTCTTTTCTATCCCTTTAATTTTGACTTCACAGCCCCCTCTGTGGATTTCCACATAGTGCTTCACTAGAACTGCATTTCCATCCGTGCTGCTCTGTCTTCTTTATCCCCAGCAGCTGCTTGCTTCCTAAGTCTTCTCCACATTGCCATGGCTGCTGCAGACTGAGGAATTCAGCAAGGAGTGCGGCCAGGGATGGTGTTCACAGGGAATTCCAATACTACGCAGAGCTAAGTCAGTGCTGGCCTTACCCTGAGGTTTCAAGGAGTGACTGCTTATTTAGTTGGTGATAAAGTCTGAAAATGTCAGACTTTCAGGCTGTGTGGAAGGTGAGGGGAGGTGAGTTTGGAATCTCCACATACCTGGGTCAACCCTGAACTCTCCCCTAGAATAAACTACCAGTGGTGGTCCAGCTACTGAGACAGTCCAGAAAGAGGTATGAAATCTGGGGTCTTCTCACTTCAGGATTCAGCCAAGCAGCTTGATCCACTTCATACATGACCACTTCATCACTGATTTCGATTTGTTTTTTTACCTCCTCGAGAGGGCAAGTGAGAGTGTAAACAGGGAAGCTTGAAACCTGTAGTTATGACCTTGAAATGTTTAATTTATGTAAAAGGTCGAGTATCTGATTCAACTCTTGGGGCAATTCCTACGAATAAACTGGTGGTGACACATGCAGAGGAGCTGCCAAGCACAGCAGGGAGGTGGCAGGCACCGTGGTGAATTATTAACTCCCAGAGGCCTGGGACCTTTTTTTTTCCCCCTCTCACTTGCTTAGAATAGTTTCCAGAGGCTTCCTAATGAGTGCTGCTGGGGCTGTTGGCCAACCTCTAACTGAACACAGTTCCTTGGTTTTAAGGAGCCTGGAGCTGGCTCGGAGGGGGATCACGTGCAGGGCCACCCTTTGCGGTGTATCACTCAGCAGAGACCACAGACTACTTGTACTTCAAAAGATCAACAGATGTTTGTCTTTTTATGCTTAATAACTATCATTACTTAAAATGTTTTAGATATTTAGAAATGGTCTTGGCATAAAGGTCATTTTACCAAAGATAAAGGAACTGTAAGGCTGTAACTAAGGTGTGTGTGGGAGACAGATAACAGTTGTGATACTTGCCCCCAAAACACTTTTCAGCTACTCCTGTAAAAGATGTTTCAAATGTCTCAAATGTTAAGGATTCAGCTAGAGTTCACAAGCTGGTTCCTGGAAACAGGACCAGGCCCCACTTAGAATCTAAGGAGCACATCGGCTGGGAAGGTGGCTCAGTGGTAGAGTGCTTGCCTTGCATGCATGAGGCCCTGGGTTCGGTTCCTCAGCACCACATAAGCAAAAAAAGCCAAAAGTGGCGCTGTGGCTCAAGTGGTGGGGCGCTAGCCTTGAGCTAAAGAGCTGAGGGACAGTGCCCAGGCCGAGTTCAGGCCCCATGACTGACAAACAAACAAACAAACAAAAAGGGATCTAAGGAGCACAATCAATCCCCTCTCAATGTATGTATTTACCTGATATAAAGGACCCCACCTCCCATACCAGGAGTACTTCTTTCAGATCCCTTCACAACCTAACTGGTGACTCATCTTCCCCAGAAGATAGTTCAACTTAATGTTATGTCCATTATACCCTTCTTCACACCAGCATTTCAAACTGACTTTAGTAACTCTTGAGGAGCTTTCCCTCTTCATGTGACCTGAAATCTGCTGGAGGCAAAAGATGTGTCTATTTCTGACACAGCTGTTGTCCTCTTCCTCTTTCTCCCTTAGCACCAGTCTCCCACTCATGAATACAGGCCCAGTGTGGGGTGGGGGTGTGGGGTGAGGGTGTGGGGGTACTGGCACTGGGAGTCAAGGTTTCACATACTCACTGTATCAGTAGGCCAACCCTCGCTGATGGAGCTGATCTAACGAGATAAAGAAATGAGTACATGCTCCTGGTTTAAATGCAAATTAAGACTTAAACCTGCCCATAACCTGCATGTAAATGGTTTAAGACACGTGTCTAAGAACTGCCTGGCTTTCTGTAAAATGTAATCACACTCTGAAAGGTGATGGCGGGGGGAGGGGAGGGAGAAGCTTCTTTAGGGAAAGGAGGCTTGGCGTCTTGTTCCCAAATGGAGAGGGCAATGCAAGACGCCCCACCCCCTGAAAATTCAGCATACACTGCACCCTGGCCCTTCCGATTGCTATCTGTGAACTCCTAAACACTACAGATATTTCTATAGCTCTCTCCAGTTTTAAAAGGGTTCCGGTACCCACGGTTTCATTTGATCCTCATGAATACTCTGCTAGGAGTAAAGGACAGGCTGCTTGCTGTATGCAGGGAAACTAAATCTCTGGCGCCACAGAAATCAGAGAAGCCAAGATCTGGGTCTGAGGGTAAATATTCATTGAATGGAACAAACAGAGATAGGTAAACCAGGTTTCTGCCCTTAAGAAGTTCACAATCTAGTTGGGGAACATGTCCAAAAAACTCTTTTTTAAATAATTAAAATAACAATGTCAGGATTAGTTAAAGAAACACATGGGGAAATAAGGCAAGAAAGTGCTTTGACTTTTAGAGTTTATGTATAGAAAGTTCACCCTGTGATTAAAATGAAATTCCTTCACCTGCTGCCCTTGCTCCCTGCGAAGTCACTGTTTCACACTCTGGACTGGACTCAAGATTCCGTATGGCGACTCTCAGGTCTTCAGCTTGCTACCTCAGTTATGGTGATGTCTGGGCTTGTCTCATCCTCTTCTGTCTGGTATCTACAGTGCAACTGCTGGCTGAAAGAATCAAAATTATTATTATTTTTTGAGGTCATGGTAAACATGAAAAGGGGGAAGAGGGAAGCTGCCTTCAGTGTTCCATCTTCACCAGCCACACACGTTGAAGGGAATGGACTTTAGAAAATGCCGAGATTACACATGAAGAGAGATACAAACGAGGGCGGAGATTCAGGGTGAAATACTAACCGGGGAAAAGGAGAAAAGAAGTCAGAACATATATCCCTGGTCAGCACTGTTTCCTCTGATAATTATGCGTTGTTTTTACGGGGCTCACACCATTTAAAATTGAGATTCCCCACAATCTAGGATGGCACTAGTCCATACCCACTGTCCTTGAAAAAACACAAACACCCCGGACACATCTCCACCTTCACCTGGGGGATTCAGATCCTATCTTTACTCAGTCCAATCAGGACTAACACACTGACAAAAACATGTGCACCGCAGAAAAGACACAATCTGTGTACATCTGCCTTTGAGCAGATATGAGTTACATGTGTGCATACAAAATATTTGGAAGGACATCCATGAAATTGAAAACAGTTCCTTTCAGTAACTTGAGATTAGACACAGAAAAGAGATTATTAACTTTTTCTTTACACAACTTTCATTGGGCTTGTTAAAACAGGCATGCAAAATCTCAGTGCACTTGAGAATAAAATGCTTGTGATGATAAAACTACAGAGTACAGTTCAAATATGTGCATGTGAGAATAGCCTAGATGGAAATACTTTAATGAAAACAGTCCATTTACTTCATTTATTCCACTATTTTTTAACAGCTGGCATTGTTCTAGGTACTTGAGATACAAAAAGAAATCAACCAGTCAAAAATGCCTCCTCTCATAAAACTTATAATCTAGTGGGGTGAAAAATACAATAAATAGTAACATATTAAGAGCATGTTTAAGAGGTGATGAATGGTACAGAAAAAAAAGTGAAGCAGGGTAGGGAACGTGGCAGCACTGTGGGTAGAGGGCAGGTTTAACAGGTTGGTAAGGAACTCAGTGAGAGAACATTTGAGAAATAGCTGAGGTAAAGGCAATAAATATCTATCTACTTATCTTCCCATGATTATATATATATTTATGAGTCATATATGTATGTAAATATCTGTGGGCATGCACACACACACACACACACTCACACACACACACAAAGCCAGAGATGACTTCCACTGCAAAGGACCAGATACAGACTAAAGGAATGGCACTAAGGACAGTAATGGCTTATGGTAAGTGAAAGGGAGAGAGCAAATAATCAGAGAAGCAAGCACAGCAGGTGGTATTGGATTTTGAAGAAGAGAGTAAATACTTTGGCTTATCTTTCAGGTACAATGGGTAACTTCTGTGCAGTTTTGAGCAGAGGAATACCAAGATACTTTGGACTGCTATGTAGAAACCTGGCTTTGGGCTGAAGCAGACAGACCAGGCTGTCCGGGTGAAGGATGAGGGTACCTGTGGAGCTGCTGAGGTGGCGTATGCCAGATATAATTTGAAGTTAGAGCCAGCAGGATATTGGGTACCAAGTGACCATGAGAGAGAATAGAATGGTTCTTTGGATTTTGACTTAAGTAAATGAAGTTGCATTAATTTAGGTGGGAGAGATGGCTGAGTTGGTTTGGAAAAGAAAAAGAACTTAATCTGAGAATGTGGCATAAATGGGTGTAGTAGTGACATAACTTTTTTTTCTCTAAGATGTTCTTAATGTTATGATGTCATCTTTCAGTATTTCAAGACTCTCAGTCCAGCAACTATAGTATATTTCCAGTAAGGGAAGTGTTCAGGTCGGTCACTGTTCACCACCTGGGGAAGTCACATGAATGGGAGAATAGCCCAGAAGTCTGAGTTCCAGTTAAAAAAAAAAGGGGGGGGGGCAGGAAGGTGGCTCAGTGGTGGAGTGCTTGCCTCGCATGCATGAGGCCCTGGGTGTGATTCCTTAGCACCACATAAGCAGAAAAAGCTGGAAGTGGCGCTGTGGCTCAAGTGGTAGATGCCAGCCTTGAGCTGAAGAGCTGAGGGACAGCGCCCAGGCCCAGAGTTCAAGACCCACGACCGACAAAATAAAATTTAAAAAGGGGGGAGAGGGGAAGTTTAAGAAGCTGCTGCTCGTTCCAGTCTTGGCAAAGAGAAGATGTCAATGAGATGACATAGAAAACTCCAAAAACTATTAGCGACTGTCCTTTTCAGCTTGAAATAAGGAAGGGGAAAAAACAAACAAAAACCAGGCAACAGGTCAACTTTGTAACTTGTGTTTCGAAAGAGGCTTCTTTTGAGGAGACAGGTGGCAGGGGCAGTGCTGTGTGTGGTTTCTAGAGGGGGCCAGGTTCCCTGGAAGGCCTACCTCACCCCTCCAGTGATGCAGTGGGGGGGGGGGGAGCAAGCGACGAACGACAGTGCTATTGAGAGAGCTCAGCCTAAGGAGCAGGTAACTCAGACCTGGGTGCCTTCCGGATTTTTTCTCCCAAGGAGGAGGACCAGCATCAGAACATCAGAAGCCCGGTCCAGCGCCGCTGTTGCTAGGTGATTTCCTCCAGCAGGGGGATTCGGGCGGGAAAGGCCGCGCGTAGGCTCCGCCCCCACGTCGGCCGCCCCTTAGCCACGCCCCCTTCCCCGCCCCAGTCCCACCTATGGAGACAAGCCGACCCATCAGCACTCGCGACCGGCCGAAGCCTCCCACCCACTCGCCCCCCTCCCCCCGCACGCATGCGCTCTTCTTCCTGCGAAGCCAACGTGACGTCAGCTCCCGTGCCAGGCCCTCGCCTCTGCCCCGCCCCCACCGGTACAGCCGCTACCACAAGTCCCCTAGCTTCGTCCTCACCTAGACTTGGTTCTGCCAGCCCGTCGCCTTCCGTCCTGTGGACAGTGATTGTAGAGCCACTTCCAGCCCATCAGATTCCCCCCACACCTCCCGTGCTCTCGGGGTGGCGGTGGTCACAGGCGGGGGACGCGGGGAGAGAAAAGGCGGGATGTGGGAAGGCCTAGTCGTCGCTCCGAGCCCACTTCCGGAGGGCGGGCGGAAGTGGCTGCGGTGGATGGTGGGAGGGGGGGGGAGAAGAAGTGCAAGGGGAGGGCCGGGCCGCCGGGGGTCCGGGGGGTGGGGCCTGGGCCGCCGGTGGGACCGGGCCTGGGGCCTGGACTGGGACCACCCGGGGCCGGCCGGGGCTTCGGCGGCGGCGCGCGGTGGGCGGGATGCAGGTAACCGACCCGGCGCGGGACGGGGCGGGCGGGGGGGGTGGATGGGGTTCGGGGCGGGGCGGGGGGCGCAGTGTCACTCCTTCGCCGCCTGAACGCTGAACGCGGGGTTCGGGGGAGAAGAGTGGGAGGAGTTAAATCCTTGGCGGCGGAGGAGGGGGGGGTCATGTGGACGCCACGCCCCTACAGGAAGCCAGAAGAGTGTGTGTGTGTGTGTGTGTGTGTGTGTGTGTGTGTGTGTGTGTGAATAAACTTACAGAGGAGGGGGCCGGGGGGGGGGGAAGTGTTGGGCTCTCGGGCTGAGAAATTGGGGCACTCAGGCCTCAGACGTTCCCGGAGAGCGCGCTCGGGAGTGGCCCTGCCTGTGAAGGAGTTGGATGGAGATTGAGAAGATTCCATCCTTGGCACAGTTTTGGAAGCCCGGGCGGGGATCGCCCTGGTGAGGGGTCGACCGCCGGGGTGGGGGGAGAGGGGGGAGGACAGGGATGCGCGTGGAAGGCGCCTGCCCCCTCGGTCTGGAAAGGATTGAGTGCGGTTGAAGAGAGCTGGCGGATTGAAACACTGAACCCCCTAAGAGGCTTGGGAGATTGGATTTCTAAGTGTCGCTTCAGATGACAGGTGGACGTTGTTCTCTGGGTTTCTTAGGAGCTTACCCGGCTCACGCTGTCAGGGCTTTTGGTTACTTTTCTGTACTGAGAATAGGTTCAGCTTTTTATCTTGGAGCCCTAAGTATGTACCCATCACGTATTTTTTTTGGGGGGGGTCCAATGTGTTAATGAAGTAGAGTAATCGGGTAGAGTATTTGAAGAAGGGTTTTTGATGACAGTCTAGTAAAGGAAGGTAATTTAGATATGGAGGGGGAACTAAAAAGGCTGAAAAATCAGTTTGGATGTGAGTGTCATAGTGTTTTAATGTTCCTTAGGCTAACACAGAAATCAGCCTCGTGGGCCATGCCGGCTTTAAGGCCTGTTTCTTCTCCTGAGCTTCAGCAGAAGGCCGATGGACCAGTCCTCACCGTGGATGACTTCCCCTGCTTGAGCAAGCTATGCTATAGTACCTGGAATCTGACCCTCACTGAAGTCCGTGCTTAATAAAAGCCAGCTGAATGAAGGGATGTAACAGACCTCTGGGAGAGACACTGAAGTCTGCAGAGGGGGGGGAGGGGCCTGGACACACCCCTTCCCCCCAGACTCCTCCCCCTCTGGGTCCTCTCAGCCATGGACTTTGAACCTGGATAAGAGGAGAGAAACCACACTTTGTTTGGTGGATCTGACTTGTGGGTCTCAGTTTTGGAAATGGAGTGCCGGATGGGCGTTTGGTGATCTCCAGAGGAGCAACCGAGAGAAGAGAAGGTAAGGTCCCTCTCTCCTTTCTGGCTTAGTGCCTTGTTACTTCAGTGCAGAAAATGTTGAATGGGGGAAGGAAGTGAGGGCACAGGAAGTATCTGGTGAGAACTCTGTATTTTGATGATACACAAGAAGCTTCAGCTCTTCTTCTCCATTCTTCGTGATTGCAGACTAGTTTCCCTGTCCTCTCCTTACCGAGTCCTGAGGGGACCTGTGAAAGGATCATGAGCACTTATAATTTGTCTGAGTAGGTCAATGAGGCTAGGCCAAAGAGCACATGAAAAGGATAGTGGATTAGATTACCATTAAAAGTCTTTCCACCTGTGAAATAATAGGACTCAGGTCAGTTTGGGCTAAGATTCTGAAATGGATTACTCAGACTCTATTTTGGGGCAAGAACAGAATTAGGTGTTTGAGGAGGAAAGGAGAGGAAATGGTCTAGATAACTCCCCAAATTTATCCCTTTTCCTCCTATTCCCTATACGAGAGCTTAGGTCATGAAACCTCATAGCACAGAAATAGATACTATCACGGAAATCAGTATATCAGTAGCTCTGACACTCATAGGCAGTGCGCAGGCTTAGATAATGTTGAGCAACCACCCTGCCCTGTTTTCTTTCTCTTCACTTGCAAGAAGATCCCTTGTAGGTAATCAGGAACGCAAATGGAGTAATGAATGTTGAGAAGTAGCCAGGACTCTTTACGTATAAAACAGTAACACTGACATTCCCTGATATGCCTGAAGCACACACAGAGCTCTGAATTAGATGTTCTGTACTTGTATCGAATTAGTGTGCTGGCGGAAACCTTAGGAAGACCTCCTTAATTAAAAGCCTGCCCTGAATTTGTCTCATCTTCTTGCCATTAATACCTAGGATTGTCTCGTTGTAGGAAAGGTGAACAGTTTAAGGAGAACTTAAGTTGAGAGATTATGCCAAGTACTGCACTGGTCCCAAAAGCTCTTCAGTTCGCTTGGCAGTGTTCCTTTCTCAGGGTAGCAGATTAAAGGGGGGTGGTGTAAGGTAAGAGGGCTGGGAATGTGGCTTAGTGGTAGAGTGCTGTGCCTAGCATGTAGGAAGCCCTGGGTTTGATTCCTCAGTACCACATAAACAGAAAAAGCCAACAATGGTGCTGTGGCTCAAATGGTAGTCTTGAGCAAAAGCAGCTCAGGGACAGGGCCCAGGCCCTGAGAAGTAGCCCATTCCAGGCCTGCCTGCTGTTGTGTGGGTTTCAGGGTGGGGATGTCACCTCTTCCAGCTTCACTCAGCAGATTCCTGCGGCCAGCTGTTGTCTAGCCACAGGGAGCACCTCGGTCCCTAAGGTCTTGGTGATCCCCAGCTTCCTCCATTCCTCCACTGCCATGGCTGTGCTCTCCCTCCCTATCTCTTGAGTGCTTCCAAGCTCTTGAACTTGTGGGACCCGGGGCGCCTCCCGTCTGTTGTGTCAGTTTTCTGTCACTTTGTGTGAGGAAGACAGTGCAGGGATCATTTTCCCAGTGTGAGAAGCTCTGAAAGCCCCGAGCGGGGTGGCTTGCCTAAGGCTGGAGCGGCAGACACTGAGGTCGCCTGTGTAGTGCCAAGCTGCTTTACAGCATCCGACCTGACAAGGGGCTCCTGCGTTCTGCTCAAACCTCCAGGGAAAGGAACTCTGTATCTTGTCTGACAGCTGCTCTGGCAAAAACATTTCCTCCTCCAACAGATTCCTCTCCCCTGTCAAGAGCAGCGGCTTGGCTCATCGCTGCCTCTCCACTGCCCCCCTCCCCATTACTTTAACTGAACTTATTTGTACCTTTCTGTATTCTAAGACATTCAGGTGGCTAGGCTAATGAAGGACTTGAGGACAGCGCTGAGTAATTACAGCCCTGGACTGAGGGACAAAGATTTTAGGAAGACAGAGAGAGGAAATTGTTTACTGGTTTAACACTTTGCTTTTTCTCCTAATGGTTTCAAGCCAAGGCCCGTCTTGAATCCAAGGCCCGAATTCTCCTTGTTAAGCAGTCTTTGAGTATGTCTGGTGAGGGGCAGTTTCCTGAAAAAAATGTCACTTCCTTTTTCTTTCTCTACTTCCCTTTTGGTGGTTGTGGGACTGGCAGAACTGCTTATTCCATCTTTCAAGTCTCTTTATTCTGTGCTGGATCCTGTACTTTCACATAATCGGATCCCAGGCTTAGCTCCAGCATCTCACCTGCCTCCTTGTTTCCACTCTTCTTCCCTCACCCCCTCTCTCCATGGAATGAATCTGTCAGCAGTCCAGGGCTTCTTTCCAGGTCATGACACTCATCTTCAGGCTTCATACATCTCAGACCAATTGTTTTGTTTAGCTTCCATGCAAGAATCCATCCTATCCTTAACCTCTACTAGTTCTTCTCTTCTTTGTATAGAAGCACTATCCAGATGCCTTTGGAATTTCACCAAGGGACTGCAGAGCTGGGGGCAGGGTGAGTTAAGGCACACAGTCTTCTGTCTTGTTTTCTACGCACCTGCGTTCGATTGGAGAGGTGGCACAATTCGAGATGGGCATCTGATGTGACATGGGCCGGGCAATCTCGGTGCCCATCCTTTGTCCAGGAGGTGATTTTAGCTCCTTAGATCTTAGATCTGTAAACCAGTTTCCCTACTTTTTACACTTTTGAAGAACTTCCTCATTTTCCCTCCCACTTTGCTACTGAGTGGGCGTGTGCAGGGCCCGACTATCCCCCCAGCTCCTTCACAGAGCAAGTGTAGGAAGAGGACAGAGTGCAGAGATGCCAGCCTCCGCCTGGCACGTGAGCATAGGCTTGAGTTTCAGCCCATGCAGTCAGTTTAAGCTGTAAACTGGCACACACATCCCACCTGCCCCCACCATCCCGCCTCACCAGTGTGTCGGCCCTCCTCTCTCCCCAGCTACTTACCTAGATTCTCTCGGCCATCACACTGTACTCCTGTTGTACTGGCACACAGTCATCTCTGAGCTGTACTAGTCAAAGGTGCATGGAGGAGGGAAGCAGTGCCAGATTTGGAGCAACCCACATCTCAAACCTGGCCCTGGCTCTCCCTGAGTGTGACTTCCAGCGAGCTGGGGCTTGCTCTCCATAGCTACTAGGAGAGTTAACAGAGGGGCCCAGGGAGGAGGGGCCTGATGACCCCTCCCAGCTTTGCTTTGCCTCCTCCCCTCCTCCCCCCCCTCCTCGGGCCTCTATTACATGCCACACTGTCCTGGCATCATGTAGGAGCAAGTTAGCGAACTCATGCACCCAGTAAAACCCGCCGCTCTGGGCTGGGAACACCGAGGGAGGCACGCGCATGGCCCGCAGGAGTTCTCAGCTCCCACACTCCTTCCGTTTGGGTGGTGAGCGGGGTGAAGTGGGTGGCGGGGAGCCTCTGCCGAAGGTCAGGCAGGGTAGGGCCATGCGAGGGCACAGGGGTCCCCAGAGACCTGAAGACTAACCTTCTCATGCAGGGCCTTGGAGACCTTCTCCCCGGCCCTTCCGCGCCTTCCCTCCTCGGTCACACTTGGCTTGTGGCTCGCCTCTGCTCACAGTGTTACCTCCGTTACTCTGCCTGGGTCCTGAGTCTTTCCTCCCCGCGTGCTCGCTCGCCCCTTCCCCTTCACAGCCCTGGGATGGATTCCGTCTGTCCCTTCTCCCGCAGCCCGGCGGTCCTGCCCGGGGGCAGGCCTGTGCCCACTCCTCCCCTCCAGCCAGCTGCTCTCGTTCCCCGCCCCCAACCGCGAGGAGCTTGGCAGCTGCCCGCCCCGCGCCGCCCCGCGCCGCGCCCGGGCAGGTGCTTCCTCCCCGACTTCCCTTCTGGCAGCCCGGCTGCTGCGCTCAGCCGGGCCCGATCAGCTCCTCGGACCCCCGCCTCCCTGGGCTGGGGCCCGGAGGCTGCGCCGTCCTCAGCTTCGGGGCCCCAGCGCCGCACCCCACCTCCTCCACCCAGCTGCCCCCCCTCCCCGGCCGCGGAGCGGGGTGCCTGGGGCGTCTTAGACGGGAGGGCGCAGAGGTGCGGGTGGGGTCGGGCAGCGTCCGGGGAGCTGCATCGGGGCCCCAAGTAGCTCCGTCCACCACCGCCCTGGAACTCGGCGGCCCGGAACGCGGGTTTGGATCCCGGCGGGTGACCGGGAGGCGGCGGCCCGGGAAGG